AAGAGAGAGAGAGAGAGAGAAACAAGAAAAAAATTTAAAACAAATATTCAAAAATTTAAAAAAAAATATTAAAAGCCGGATGACAAAATAAGGAAAAGATACAGACTCGTCATCATCTCACACGATTATATCCCAAAAAAAAAAGAGTACATTCTAATATTGAATTATTATAGACAAAACAAACTATATTAATACAATAGTAGCTTTTGATTACAAAACCTAACCGCAATGTTTAGTTGAGGTGGTAGGTGAGTTGAAAAAGATTCTTTAAGACTGATTAATTAAGGTTATATAGCGAATCATTGTTAAATCAAAGAAATAAAACTATTGATTATCTGGAATAATAGTATATCTGGCAAAAGGATGACGGATATACAAAATTGTCTGTGACAGTAGGTTTAAAGCTCGAAAGTGTTTTAAAAAAATTATTCTTGATCTTGAAATCACACTTGGCTTACTTTAAGCAACTTGTCAGATTTCTTAACCGTCTTTCCGCACCTTCTCACATTTATTTGCGATTCCAAACGTGTATAATTTTTATTTTACTATTTTTTTCATAATGATTTTATAAAAGTATTCACATTTGCAGGTTTCGTCCATCTCCCACGTTCTTCTTTCAGCTACGTAACCTGCCACACATGTGCATCTGGTATATTTGTCAGAAGTGAGTTCACAGGAAATGCTATTTGGTCCACAATCACATCCTATAAAAACAAAATTAACTTGTAATATGTGCACGTCACAGGTATATTTGCGAAAATAATCTAAATAACTTTAAAATTAAACTATCGTAACTGTTTTCGATACCAATATTTTAAACATATTTTCTAAACTTTATTTTTAATTCTTAACATGAACCAAAATAATAGGCGTTTAAGGCTGAACAATAGTAATTCAGAAAACACTTTTTAGCTGGTTCTATGCAATTGGTTTGTGTTACATTTTTATTTTTGCGGGCTTTAATCATATTGCAAAACTCATATTTTAATTTGTATTTTTTACCACCATAAAAGACAACCACTTGCTCCTTTTTCACATTTTTTTCCCTATTTCTTTTTCATACACATGACACTTCTCAGCGCCATCTCTCTTTCTTTTTTTGAATTAATTACGTGCGAGAGCAAAAGGTAACATGAATTTCTGCAACATTTCAAAATAAATAATGTTACTTCGCAAGTATATAATATTTTTCTTCCTAAAATAATTAGTTGTGTAAATTGAAATATAAAATCAATTTGTATTTTTTGGTTCAAATACACCTTAAAAAATTGGTTTTACGTTGAACCTATATCGCAACAGCATTTATATCGTACCTACATTGTACCTCACAAATCTATCGTACGTCATATTTAATGTTAATGGCATAAATTAACAGGAAATATGACGTAATTTCGTTTAATCCTTGAATGAAACTGTGGTGCAAAGAGGATGATATTACAGTTATTATTGCGCTCAAAACTCTTAAAACAGTGCATGGTCCACGATGGCAAATTGAAAATCGGTGTACCTTATCCGGAATTATTAATCAGCCAGCAAAAAAAAATTATGGTATCATCGAAGCTACAATGAAAACACAAAATTAACGGTTACTTTTTTCCCAGACAGATATGTTATTTCATAACAAGTGCTTGTGCTTGTAGTCCGACTATCAAGTGTTTATGTTACCGTCAAAATATGACTTTCTATATACTGTATTGTATGGAATATATTGCATAGAACGTATAGTAAAGAATGTATTCTAAAGTCGTATTGTATATAATTCATAAAATCGAGAGGGATACTTAAAATGATTAATATTTACGCACTATTTATAGAATTCTACACAATATTTCACTTGTTTTACTATAAAATGACTGATAAAAAACCGGCAAGGTATAAGATGAAAATTATTACTCATATTTTAGAATGATTTCTGATTAAATGACTGACTTACAAGTTTTCTACATATCATGGCTGGGTAAAATATGTAATTTTGATATTTCATACTTTTCCTGAAAACACAAGGTATATTAAACATTGAGCAGGCATTCTAAAGAATGTCGTCATTTTAGTCATTTTATACGTTGCTGATATTAGAGGAAAATTGAAAAATCCATTCTTCTCACATGGACAAATGTGTCAGCCTTACTCGCTAGTCAGAAAAATTTCTCATTTACTTAACGCACCACACGACGAAATAAAAAAAAAAAGTGTAATAAGCAGTAGAATGAACACAAAACGAAACGTTCAATTGTCAGAAGTCGAAGAAAATCCAAAATAAATTAAGTATTGCTGTAACGAAATTCTTATGATTTCAATTTTGGTTGGAGGTGTTGCAATGCGTTCAAGAAAAATCTAGTTCCGAGCAAAACTTTCTTAGCTTAAATTTGTTTCGGCAATTTTTACTCTTTTTAGTAATTAAATTGGAAAAAAATATTTAAATTATCGCTTAATTTTTTTACAAATTTATTTAACAAAATTTAACTATTTTTTGCCTTAAATTTTTTTTTAAAAATTTAGTTAACAAAAATTAACACTTTTTTCAATTTTGTAAAAACAATTTAAATTAATCCACTTAAAATGCATAAAAACTCTACATTTAGGAAGTTTATTCGTATATTAATTAGCTCACATTTGATTAAGCAAACTTCGAATAAAAAATAATAGGCACCGTAATGGAGCGTGATTTTAATTTTTGACATAATATACACACTATTTAATTAAATATCTAACCGAGATTCTCACTTCCACCATGATGCGTAAAAATCAAATGAAAGTTATTTACCGAGACGAGATTAAAGAGATACACGAATTCATTATAAAATTATGTCTATCATGAAATAGATATCATAAAATTGTATCGAGAAACTGTTTAAATCTATAAAAGGGAATCTCTAACTCGATGGTGTGTACTATGTCAGAAATTGGAATAGCATTTTATAACGAAGGCAAATTAATTGAAAAAAAAATATTTATTTGGGTGTCAGAAACTTCCTACATCGAAGCTGGCTGAACCAAATGCTAATAACTAGCTAATATACAGCATTACCGAAACCACAACCTATTATTTTAATAGATAATTATTATTTTAATAGATTACTGTTGTTTTAATAGATAACGAGAAATTATCTTTAGCAGGAGTAACTTGTATATAAAATTGTGCTTAACTTACTTTCGCATTTACCATATTCAGCAATGTATCCTTTTCTACAAGTGCATACTTTAGAGAAACCTTTTAAATGGCAACTTATTGCATCGTATCCACAATCACATTCTACCATGAAATAAACAAAAACAATTTTTAATTTATAAATAAAAGAAATGCAACAAAAAACTGGCAATTTACGATTCGTTAAGCTCATATTGGACACAAAACTTCATTATATCACTAAATTTGCATTCCAATAAATAAATTGAAATGAAAAAAAAGAAAAGAAAAAAAAAGGAAAAAAGAAACGACTAGCTAAAGCTACAGAACCTCACTTTTTTAAAATTAACTGGGACCGTTATCTGTCCTAATTACCTGAAGGTTCCCCCATAAATTATAGATAGTTTTATAAATTCTAATTATTTCTATCAGATATTATTTTTCTCGAAATAATTGAAATACAGCGATGTATCTTCCAATCCAGTTAAATCGGGATTTATAGGAATTCTGGCTTTTTTAATCTATCGAAACTAGGAATGAATTTGAACGTTTCAGCAGGAGCGATGCTGCATCGTTTTCTAATATCGATATAATATCGACATACCAAATCTCGAACATATTGATCTGTAGATGTGTGGATCTGTTTGATTGTTTTGATTGAAATGGCTGTAGAAATTTTAAAGATAAACGGTGCTATAGACATGCTGACTTAACAATTATTGGTTCGGTTGTTTTTCTTTTACGAGCAATAGCATAGATATAATATTCAAGTTACAGCTCGAATAATGAAGCAGGGATAAATTTTCTATCTTATCTCATGATAGAAATAGAAATAATTTACAATATCTGCGACCTTCTATGCGGAAATGTCCCGAACTCATACTTAAGGTGATTTGTGCGATTTTGTTGCCACTCAGCCTAAGTTTCTTACTTCCGTTTTGTCTATTTCTTGCTAACATTTTGATTTGCATTTTTAGAGTTTGAGAATCCTGCACTTTCGTAAGAAAGAGAATTGCGTTTTATGTTTTCAAATCTTACTTTAAGCTAATTTAAACACGCAATAAATTACGTTATTTAAGTACGTTAATTACACGCAATAAGTACGTTAATTATTAACTAATTAACGTGTTAGGATTTGCCATTTTGAAATAAGCATGAAATATTACCTAATATTTAAAAACCAAATTATTATCTTATTTAATATTTTTTTAATGAATAAAAATCATTAATACAAATCTGTAATCCTTTTATACCACAGCTTCAAACTGAGTGCAGAATAAAATTTGTATTAAGAGATTCCCTCTACTTCTACCTAACACATTAGCATAAAATTCGAAAACTGTTATATGGTTGCTAATGCGTTGATTTCATTGAAATTCGTTAATATTTCTCACTCATTCTTTTCCACCAACACATTTGGATGCATAAGGTTAAGGTAATCTAATCAATTAATAGCCAATATATGGATTCCTTAACTTTCCTTGGCGAAAACTATTTCAACTTACGCATGACGCTTGCATTTTTGATTTCTTGGTGGACGAAGGTGTCATGTGGGGTTTAGCCCTACAGTCGCATCGTCCGGACAATTTTTTAAATTTATTAATTTATATGTACACAAAAATGAATCATTATTTTACTTTGGAGCGCATTTTTATTGATTATAATTTGATTTTTAAGCAATTTATGATTTTTGTTAAAAAATTGCTTACCTAACATCATACTGGTATAATATATGGACAACTACAATACGACGAATGGTAAATTCTTAAACTTATGGTGAAAACATCCAACCTCTTCAACTTATGGTATACGCTAATCAAGCCACTTCAACGAATACTAAAATGTTTTCAAGCACCAAAACTATTTACCTTGATATGATTGGAGGAGGGCTTGAGGAGCTAAAATATTTTAATTTAGTTGTGCTTTGCGTTAGGCTTTGTCACCATTAAATTTTATATGTTCGTTGTACGAGATAATTATGAAAGATGACAAAGCTGCGTATTAAAGACGGCTAGTATATCTAAAAAGTGTGAATGAAATATGACATTGCTGCTACAAAGAATTCGAGCACGACTTTTGTAAAAGATGCTTGTTAAGAATACATCTGGCAATTGGATTAAACAGCATTAAAGAATTCATGCCAAATAGAAGTTTCTAGATGCATAAATCAGGCACTTAGCGACTTAAAATTTGTGAGATAGATATAATATTATTAGATGAAAACTACTGTATTATGGTACAAAGACCATTCCATAATACAATTAACTATAAAGCAATTGAAAAGCAACTAGAAGTGCTCAGTTGCCGTGGCTAAAATTAGAAACTTCGAGTCTTCTAACTCAGGAGACCACATTTCATTCTGTTTTATAGTTAAACTAGCCGCCTTTGGTCACAGGCTTGGTCACGTTTCAAGCAACATAGAAACTTTAAGGGTAACTAAGCCATAGTTGTATTTAAATATTCTAACTCTTCAAGCCCTCCATTTTAAACACAGTTTAAAGCAATATGCACCATCTAGCTGTTGCCTGCGCGGAAGCACTTTGATTTCAATTGATCTCGATGTATTGAACTTTAGTAACAATTTAAAATTTTTCCGACAGCTATCAAATCACAAAAAATACCTCAAGTATGAATTCAGGACAGTTCAGCATAATAGTCTGTACAAGTAATAAAAGAAAAACTCATACCACTGCTCTTTATGTGCCGTTTATATATATATAT